GGGAACAGGAGGCTGGAGGAGAAGGGTGATGGGATGTCTCTCCCCCAGACGCTCTCCATGGCTTACCTCACGGCCATGCTCTCCAGGTAGGTGGGGTTGTGGCCTCTGGATGTGTTTCTGCTCCCAGTCCTGCCCCTTCCCCCTAAAAATACCCTGTGCCCGGAACACATGGACCTCCTGCTGTCCATCTACTGTCCACCTACTGTCCACCACCTCCATGGACACCTGCTGCCCACCACCTACTGTCCACCTACTGTCCACCATTTTCATGGACACCTACTGTCCACCTACTGTCCACCACCTCCACGGACACCTCCTGCCCATTCCCTGCTTCTCTCAGTTGCTTCCAGCATGATCCCAGTTGCTCCCCATGAGGCTGAAGGACCTCGAGGTGAGGTGTGAAGGAGGACCCAGAAACCCCCAGAAACTTTCTCCTCCTGAGGACAATCCCAGAGCTCCTTATTCCCTTGGGATTGACATTTCCCCTCCTGAACTTCCTCCTGCTCGATCCTTCCTCCTCCTCCTCCCTCTGGGAATCTCCAGGAGGTGACTTGGATGTGTCTTTGCAGCTACTACAACACCAAATCCGTTCTGCTGTGCCTGGGGATCACAGCCCTCGTGTGTCTCTCCGTCACCATCTTCAGCTTCCAGACCAAGGTCAGCAGCTCCGGCAAATCCCTCGGGAACGGGAAGCTCCAGGGCTGGGACACGGGGCCTGGAGGGAAGGGATGGATGGAGGAGATCCCTCAGGGGGGTTGGGATGGGATGGGAAGGTTGGGAGAGGTGAGGAGTGTCCCAGGGGGTGGGTGGGGTTGGACTGAGGATGATCCAGGATTTCTGGGGCTGAAAGGTGCTGATGGTTGAGGATGATCCAGGATTTTTGAAGGATTGGGATGTGTTGGGATGTGGATGGAGCTGGAAGATACTGATGGTTGAGGATGATCCAGGATTTTTTGCAGGATTGGGATGTGTTGGGTTGTGGATGGAGTTGGAAGATGCTGATGGTTGAGGATGATCCAAGATTTGTGGAAAATTGGGATGTGTCAGGGTATCGATGGGGTTGGAGGATGCTGCATGGAGGTTGGATGGGATTTTGGAGAGGATTGGGATGTGCCAGGGCCATGGATGGGGCTGGAAGATGCTGATATTTGGGGATAATCCAGGATTTCTGGAGGATTGGGCTGTTCTGGGGTGTGGACAGAGCTGGAAAATGCTGCATGGTGCTAAACTGGGAATTCTGGAGGCTTAGGCCATGAGGTCCATCAAGGCCCAAAGATGTGGGATGGGACATTTCCTACCAGGTCTGTGATGGCTCCTGAGCTCTCCATCCCTCCAAGGGGATCTGTGGGAATCTTTAGCTCCATGGGAATGTGTTGGGCTGTAGGACCTGAGGAGCAGAAGGAACAATCTCCATGGCCAAGTGTCCTCCTGGAAGGTCCCACCTTGGCCATGGGAGTCCTGGGTCTCCTCAGGGCTCCTCTCCCAGTTCTCCCACCATGTCCAACGTCACCTCCTTTGCCTCCACAGTTTGACTTCACCTCCTACCAGGGAGTTGTCTTCGTGATGCTCATGGTTCTCTTCTTCGGGGGCATCATCTTGGCCGTGATCCTGCCCTACCAATACGTGAGTCCTCCGTGGCCTTCTCTCCTCCAGTGCCACCACAACTGGGCAAACTGGGCTGGGGGGAGACACTCCAGGGCTTGGCTGGAGAGAGATGACCCAGTTGGGGCTCCAAAGACCTGCAGGAACAGGTGGAGAGGATGGAGGTGGTTGGTGGTGAGACAAGTAGGGAGAAGTGGGAGGACAACATGAGGAGTTTCCTGCTGCTCCTGGAGGTGTGTGGTGACCCTGCGGCAGGTCATGGCTCAGCTGTGGAAGTCAAAGAGTCTTGGGATGGTTTGGGTTGGGTTGGAAGGATCTGAAGGATCATCCCATCCCACTCATCCATGGGCATGGACAAATCCCACCAGTCCAAGTGGCTCCAAGCCCCATCCAACCTGGCCTGGAACATTCCACGGACGGAGAATCCTCTGGAATTCCCATCCCAACCCCCTAGCCCCTCCCAGGCAGGAATTCCTGCCCCTGTTCCCAGCCCTGGAGTTAGTGTGCTGAAGGAGAAATCTCTGGTGAGCATTCCCAGTTTGGAGTTCGTTTGTCTTGGCTGGAGCTCAACCTCTCCCAGGAGTGAACGTGAGGCTGAAGCTGTTCCGAGGCCAAGAAACTGGTGAGACAACTCCTCCTTATCTTGAAGCTTGTCAAGATAAGCATTGCTGGAGGCAACCAGGGAAGGAGCACGACCCAGGGAGGGAGGAGATAACTCTGCAGACGCAGGAGAGGTCCAAGGGGAGGCAGGAGGTGTCTCTACAGAGGCAGGAGATGTCCCAAGGATGATGTGACTGTGACCTCTGCCAACAGTGCCCAAACACCTCTGGGGAAGAACCTTCTCCTGATCTCCAACCTAACCCTGTCCCAGTGCCCAAACACCTCTGGGGAAGAACCTTCTCCTGATCTCCAACCTAACCCTGTCCCAGTGCCCAAACACCTCTGGGGAAGAACCTTCTCCTCATCTCCAACACAGACCAGGTTGGACAGGGCTTGGAGCTGGTGGAAGTTGTTCCTTCCCATGGAAAGGGGTGGGGCAGCTGTGGCCAAATTGCTCTTTGGGAATCCAAATCCCTGAGCTGGAAAGTTTAGGAGCTAAATGGACACGAAGGGAAAGGGGAAACTGAGGCAGAGTGACCATGGAGACATCTCGGAGAGAAACTGGTGGAGCTGGAAGAGATCCAAGTCTATCTTGAGCTCTTGGAGGACTTTTCCTACCTTTTCTCCTCTGATTGAGATCCAAAATCTCTGTTCCCAACCCTAATTAACCTTTTCCCACCTCTCTGGGTCCTGCAGGTCCCTTGGGACTGGAGGAGATCCAAGTCCATCTTGAGCTCTTGGAGGACTTTTCCTACATTTTCTCCTCCAGTTGAGATCTAAAATCTCTGTCCCAGCCCTAATTAACTCCTTTCCTGCTCCGTGTCCTGCAGGTCCCTTGGCTCCATGCCATCTATGCCCTCCTTGGTGCCATCATCTTCACCATGGTGAGTAGCTGCTGCTACTGGGGCTTGGGAAGGTCCTGGCAGGGGAAAAAAAGAAGTTTGGAGGGAATGGGATGAGGCTGAAGAAGTCAGGGAAAGGAGGGAGAGGGAAGACATCTCCAGGATGAGGAGGAAGAGGGAGGACAACTCCAGGATGGGGAGGAAGAGGGAGGACAACTCCAGGGGGAGGAGGAGGAGGAGGGAGGACCTCTCCAGAGCTGCCTGTGGGCTGGATGAGGCTGGAGAAAGGTGCCAGGAGGGAGTTGAGGGAAGGAGAACGTTCAGCTCCTTCTGCTCCCGTTGGGACCTGTGCCCCCAGCCCAGGACACGTGGCTGAGTTGGCTTTGGGGCCAATGAGGAGATCTCCTTGGAGCTCTCCCAAGTGTCCCCAGGACTGTCTCTGCTTCCCTCCTCAGTTCCTGGCCCTGGACACGCAGATGTTGATGGGAAACCGTCGCTACTCGCTGAGCCCTGAGGAATACATCTTTGGAGCCCTCAACCTCTACCTGGACATCATCTACATCTTCTCCTTCTTCCTGCAGTTCTTTGGCTCCAGCCAGGATTGAGGGCAGTGAGGCAGGAGCTTCTCTCTGCTGGAGAGATGCAAGTGGTTAGGTCTGAAGAGAGGGGGGAAAAAGGGTTCAACACCACCAACCCAACCCAAACTCACCTTCCCTGGTCCTTCCAACCAGCTGAGCAAGCCCTTGGGTTTGGGTTCCTCATGTCCTTGGGTTCTTCAAGCCCTTGGGTTCCTCCTGCCCTTGGGTTCCTCCTGCCCTTGGGTTCCTCACACCTCTGGCTCTGATGCCACTGGAACCCCAACATTCCCTCACGGGTACACCAATATTCCCTCATGGGGACCCCAACGTTCCCTCATGCTCTGAGACCATTGGAACACAAATATTCCTCTGGCTCTGAGGCTATTGGAACCCCACCATTCCCTCATGGGATCCCCACCATTCCCTCATGGGATCCCCACCATCCCCTCCCTGTAATCCCACCCTTCCCCCCTGCCCCCACCATTCCCTGGGTAACTTTCCATGCTGTCCATGCCCACATTCCCACCAGGTCTCACCTGGCTGCTCTTCCCCCCGCCGAGCTCCAGCTGGAGATAAAGGACCTTTCGCCCTGGTCCCACCAGAGATCCTTGGGCTGATAGGACCTGTTATCTCCCATCTCCTCGGGAACGCTGGAGCCAAGTGCGTCATGGAGCTCCTGAAGGAACATTCCTTCTCTTCCTCTGCTGCCCTGAGCTTCACCCCTCACCTTGTCCTCCTGCCGCGTGTCCCACCTTCCTTCAGAGAGATCCTCCAGCCCTTCCATAGCTCCTTGGACGCAGCTGATGGGTCCATCTCCTCTTCCCTCCCAAAATTCCCCCAAAAAAGCCCAAACAGAGCAAATAAATCCCCAACCCAAAGGCAGATTGAGGTGGAGAATAGCTCCAGGAGGACTTGAGGCTTGATGACCAACTCAATGTGAGTCGAGTGTGAGCTCACAGCCCCAAATCCAACTCAATCCCAGGGTGCAGCCAAAGGAATGCGGCAGGAGGTCCAGGGAGGGGATTGTCCTCTGCTCTGCTCCACTTGGAATCTTGGGGCAGTTGTGTGTCCTCAGCGTGGATGTGGAACTGCTGGAGCAAATCCAGAGGTGGTAAAAGGATTGGAGAACCTTCCCCAGGAGAGAGTTGGGGCTGGAGAGGAGAAGGTTGTGTGGAGACCTGCCAGGAGCTGAAGGAGCTCCAGGGAAGCTGCAGAGGGACTTGGGGAGGAGCTGCAGAGACAGGACAAGGAGGAATGGGGAGAAATGGAGAGAGGGAAAGTTAGGTGAGATCTTAGGGAGAAGTTTTCCCTGGGAGGGTGGTGAGACACTGGCACAGGATGGCCAGGGAGAAGTTGTGGTTGCCCCAAAAGAGGTTGTGGATTCTCCAAGGAGGTTGTAGATACCCCAACCTTGTCACTGTTCATTCCAGGTGGAATAAAACCTTGCCCACCCTTCTCCTCCTGTATCCCAACTTTCTGCTGCTCTATCCTGGTTTTCTCCCCGTGTATCCCAACTCTCTGCTGCTCTATCCCAACTCTCTGCCGCTCTCCCCTGGTTTTGTCCTGTATCCCAACTCTCTGCTGCTCTCTCCTGGTTTTCTGCCGCTCTCTCCTGGTTTTTCCTCCTGTCTCCC